ACAAAAGAAATTATTAAAAGGTAGTAGTCTAATTTAAACAATTCTATGATCAATATGATAATATATATATATATATATAATTATGTTTATAGATTCAGAATCAGACGATATGAATTCCGCGGATAAGATTGTTAAACAATTATTAAATTTGATTAGTGCGGAATATGTGAGAGATTTACTTATACCTGTCTTATTGGAAAAAGGATTCTTAGTGCCGAAAGAGAAAAAGTATGCGTGTACTAATCTTTATATTATTATTATGGTATACAATTTTGAATAATTGGACTTTTATTTTTAGAGTTTCGATGACCGACCAAATATTATCAAAGGATTTGTTAGATTTATGGTTTTCTATATTGCGCAAATTCGATAGTGAATGGGCTAATTTTAGTAGTGAACTAGTGCAGGGCATGTTAGAAAAATTGGTAATGGACGAAGGTATTTTATTAACTAATTTATTCGCTTACTCACACAATATGCGATAATTTACCAAAGTTTCCACATTCTAATTTTAGCAAACATTAACCGTGACGCCAATCTGATTCAATTAACAAATTGTGTAAGTAAAATCAACAAATTTTGTACAGAAAAATTTCGATAATTTCATATTTTCAAATTTTATTAATTTATCTTTAGTCACCTGCTATAGAATTGATACAGACACCTAAATTAACTCACTCAAGTTCCAGTTATCATTTAACTCTTGGTATGCTAGAATTTATATAACCTAAAGTGATTGTTTTTTAATATATATTTAATATATATTTTATAATAGTGGCATGGATAAGTTATATTTTAAAGATTAGATATACGGGCGATTTTATTGCTTTTACTGATTTAGATCTGGAAAGTATTCTTGAATTTTGTTTAAGGAAACCGAATCCTTAGTGAGTATTCGTAGTTATTTGTACCGGTTTTCCTTATAAACTTACAAGTTATTCTTATGATAGTACGAAAATGGTATTACAAGTCATGATTGATTATGACGATGAGTTGAAGACAATTATTACACCGTTCATGAATTACATTGTTAAAACGCTAAGTTTTGAAGATGTGAGATTTTTTATGTTAATCACCTTAGAGAAAAGAACCTGTTCGAATATAAGCATTCTTTCTAACTTATTTCAGAACTTTAATTATAATAAAAATATTTCAAGAATCACAGATGATGACATGAATAGGGACATACTAGAGTTTCAGAAAAAGTTAAGTAATATAATCGGTTGGAGAGAGGTAAGTAAAAACTATCCATTTTAAGAGATCTTTATATACTATCAAGGTGTCTAGGCTGTATGATCTACAGAACATAATTTGAGTTAGTATTGTAGATGAAACCCAATTTGCAGATTATTTGTAAATCAGATTAGGCGAAATTAGTTTTAGATTTATAGGGTGAAACTGAAATTTTACCAAAAGATTTTACTAATTTCTTTTCAAGTTTCTATTGGCTGGGATTATTCGCACCAATTTACATATTACCTTTCGTTCAAAATATGACATCTCATTTAGGGTTAGGGTTAGGGTTAGTAGCCAACATTATATCTAAAATTTTGCAAGAAATTTTTTTTTGTTAATACGTTAAAGGTGATGGATATAACTTTACAAAAAAAAGTGATTGTTGTTTTGATCGTTACGCTACACCTGATCTTAATCTCTGATTGGCCAAAATCGAAACTTTAGAGAAAATTAGTAAACGTCTAACAAAACGTTTCGAATTTGAAAAGTAGTTTCGCTTACAGCACTAGTTTGGGCCACATATAGATTATATATGATTGTAAAATCGTTAGTAATTAATATGCAATAAAGTGCTAAATTGTATATTCTTTATAATTGGAATCTTTGCTAAGAAAATAATCTTCCGAGACTATGTGGATTTATGAATAAAATTTAGATTTGCTAGCAATCCAGTAATCCAATTTTGAATAAACTTTTTTTATTTCATAAAGTTTAGTAAAATCAATGAAATAAAGAAAAGTTTATTCAAATCGGATTACTGGATTGCTAGCAAATTTAAAAATCTACATAGCTTCGGAAGGTTATTTCCTAGCAAAGATCCCAATATTTTTATAAATATTTTGGGCTTAATTGAATTTATACTCGAATACTATATATAGTATATTCAAATATTATCTTCTATACTTTGAGAAATACATAAATACGGTATTTGATAATACTACTCAATTTTTACAAAAAAAAAGGTATCATTACTTTAAATTTCGCGTTAAAAGATTTTAGCAAACATAATTTATTCGTATTATTTATTCTTTCAAGAGTTATCGGTGTTTAAATTTTATACTTTTCAAAATTAATATTGCAACTCTGGGTTATATGATACTAGACACCTTGAGATATGATGCATTGTTAATACTACATTGTAATTTTAATACCTTATAATATATTTAGTTAGTAGAAGAAAGTAATTTTAATACGAATTCAAATATAGAATCAGCATGGAAAATCTATGATCCTGAAAAATGGAAAGCGTGTCCAATAGGATGTTTACCTAATGGACAAATTCCTTGTTTAGATCTTTCACCTGATTTAGACGGACCAAGCAGTATCTTTTCTGAACCAAGGTAAAAAAAATATACTTTTTTATTATTTAAAATTAGTGTAGTATCTACTAGATTAATATTTTGTATCAAATTATTATAGAAAAGAAATAAATTCTATGCAGATTGATAAATAGATCAAATTTAATTAATTTAAATATGTCAAAGTTATATTATAATTCACTTTTTTAATATTCTAATATAGTGAACTTTAGCATGTTCTAATTATTTTCTTATAATGCTTCTAATTTATATAAAGACTATATATATGTATAATAAAACAATTCTATAATTCTTTTTAAAAGAATGATTTAATAATATGTAACAGATTTATAAATATAATCTATTTTATATCAAAATACATATATAATCTATAAAACAAACTTATAATCTATACTCTGCAATTATCAATTTTGAAGACCAAAATATCTTTAGCACCTATTTCTTCCAATTTATCCATTATTTCCGCAACATCATCTTTACAAACCATACTTTGTACTTCAACCCAATCATTATTTTCTAAAGGGCTAATAGTAGGGGCTTGCCTACCCGGAGTAATCTTAGTAGCTTCACTAACAGTATTACGATGAATATTATAGCTAAGTAATACGTATTTTTGAGCGGCTATAACACCCTTGATTCGAGATGTAATCTTGGAAACAAGGGAGGGATTGGAAGGGTTTTTATTACGAAACAGGATTGCTTGTGTGCTATTAATTGTAGCAATGGCATGAAGACCGGCTGCCCTCATTGTCTCACCGGATTCTAAAAAAATTAATAAAAACAAGTTATTAAAAAGATATATTAATTAGATCAAGTGAATATACTTAATATACTTACCAACTAAATCAACTATTTTAGCAGTAATTAATTAATAATATTAAATAAATAGAAACAAGTTCTTCAAACATAAATATATATATATATATATATACGTACCAATACCATCAGCCAAACCAAGAGCGCAAGCTGCCTCGACACTACCACTAACAAATTCAATTTTTGTTTTTTCCCCTTCTTTTCTTTGATTCTCATTCAAATGTTTCTTATCTAATTTCTCAAAGTAATCATTGGCCAAAACTTCATAACTCGTAACAATCCTTTTTCCGACCAAATCTTCAACTTTTTGTATAGTACTTTTAATCGGGACTTGAACTTGTAATTTACATTTCCCGAAACCTAATTCTAAAAGGTGTACAACTCTATCATCGACTTGTGATTCTAAAATCATATCCTGGCCTGTAATTCCTAGATCAACATTTCCATCGGCAACATATTTTGCTATGTCGGCAGCAGGAAGAAATACAAGAGCAATTGGAAGGTTTTGAACCAAAGCGATGTCAAGTCTATTATGACGATAAAAATTAATGTCTGCACCATTAAGGAGAGCGAGACTATGTTCATGAAGACGACCTTTTTTAGGAATTCCAAAAAGAAGACGATCGGAAAGATTATTCATTATATCCGCCATTTACTATTTCTATTTAATGATCTAACTTTTTTTTTTTTAGAACAAAATGAAAGAAAATAAGTGTAATTTGATAATGTACAAAATATAAACATTGCGTGTACCTTTTTTAAAAAAATCTATTCCGAAAATGGGAATTATTGAACTATTATGGTATAGTGTAACGAATACAAAAAGAATTCGCGCGGGAATAACAAAATTGTTTAAAAGAATTGTACGCCATAACAAAGCCTTGGTAAAAATACAAGATAATTACAAGGTAAAACTTGTCTTGACCATATTCAATTCATACATTTGATGAAGCCATCTTAAGTGATAAAAATAAGCCACGGGAAACTGCGCATAACTTTAACATATAAAAATCTCACCATTTTAAAATTTTTTTTGGTGGTTTGATATTTAAAAATTTAGGTTTGTCATATTTTATATAATAAAGTCACACCATATCAAAAACGGGTCATTTGTACTCTTATTTGGAAAGTATGACGATATTGAAGTTTCAGATGACTCCGACAAATATGGACGAGTGTGAGAATAATATAAAAGCTATCCAGCAATGCTTTTGTTAATTTAATAAATTTAATTTTATTACTTTCTATCAAGTAAACCGAAAAAAAAAAAAAAACCTTCTTAACCTTTCGAGAGAATAAAAATGTATATAAACTCACTTCAATATCGTATTCGTAACGGACAAAAGTTTCCAATACCATTAGAAAATGAAAGTTATTATCATCGTCATCAACCAGTTAATTTCACTATTAAATTATTAAATAATCAACCCATGACGAATTCAGCAAATGGAACGATTTTTCTTACCGATAAACGAATTATATTTATCGCTTATAAAACTGGTTCAGATGTTTTTGAGAACTTTTACGTAATGTTATCTGATATTGTATCTTCAGTAACAGCAGGAAATGTTCTCAACAATTTATTTTATAAAAATACATTTTCCGTGAATATTACTTTGAGGGATAAAACAATTTTTAATATGTCTATCACGTACGATTATGATGATATTGAACAGAAGAGAATTTTTGAAGATTATTATGGAATGTTGATTTCTTGGGCGACCAAGAATAAACCTGGTAAACCTCTAAGCATTTCTACGCAAAACAGCAATTTCACTTCAGAAGGTAGCCCTATGTCGCCTTACTATAACTCTTGGAGTATGAACTCTCCATCATATGATGGAGAACAACCTCCACCATATTCTTAAATTTATTTATTACAATATTACAATATTGGATTTTTATATTCTTACGTGGTTTTTTAAATAT